TCACATTTTTGTTGGCAAAAGTTTATTCACTTTCGAGATAACTCCACTTGCATTTCCATTCTGCATTCTTTTCTAAGTCCCCCGAGCACATCTGGATGTTTCTTCCTCTGTGCCAGCCTGTCATCTTGCATTTGTCTTCATTACAACAAGGATTCCTTCGCATTAGATTTGCCACTTTGTCTGACAGGTTCTCAGCCAATCTACATGTTCCTTGGAGGCAGGTGCCATTTTTTATTTATTGTTATACACCCAAGCATGGGGTACCACTTTTCCCCTGCAATCTGACATTTGCACTTTCATTAATATCTCTGTTGCCTACCTCTCTAGAGGTTATTTTTCCTCCTTCAGCACTTAGCTAAAATGCATTTCCTCATTAAAAAAACTCCCCTGATTGGGCTCACTTCTCTGTAATTACTCATTCATTTTTATTATGTCCTCACAGTGTGTGATCAAATGGTTTAGATTCTGTTCTTAATTCTAGCTCAACCACCTTATGTATTTTAAGAGTCACTGTTGAAATCATGACTGCAATGCTTTTAAAAATTAATTTCCTTTAACATATCCATTTTCTTTCCAGTCAGAGAAATGGTTAGACTCCTGTTAAACACACTCTTACCCACCCTACACCAACTACCCAAGTAACAGAAATATAGATGAAGAACATAAAGCCACCTAAACTTTCAAGACCAAAGAGCAAGATTTTCAAAAGCAACTGGAACTAAGAACTGGTAAGAGGCATAAAGCTTAAATTCCTCAATGCAAGGAAGGGACTTCCTTCTCCCCCTCCCCGCTCCCTCCTTCCCCAGAGGCTTTCTCTCCATTGCCTTTGTTTCTTCATTGTCCAGACACTGCCAAGCTACTCAGCCCCATGAGAGACTTGAGAAGAGCCAGATGGTATCAACCTGCCCACAGAGCTTCTGAGGTGGGCTAGTCCTTGTACTGTAGCAGTTTGGGAGAGGAGTAAAAGAAAGTGGCACATGGCATATTCAGGAAAGTGCTGTTTGCTTGTTTGTTTGTTTAATGTGCTCAGGGTCTAAAAGCTCAGAACAAAGCTAAACAAAGGGAGAAGGGATAAGCAGTCTTCATTTGTACTCCCTACACTACATGCTGCTCTTCTTTTCTTGCTAGAGGCTGTGCTTTCCCCAGACCATAAGTTCCTGGAGCTCATCAGCAGCATGTTTCTTTTGTATTCTCTAACCCTTGCAGCACACCGAGTACATAGTGTATGCTCAAGAAGCACCGCTGACGCACTGATTACTACGTACTTAACTATTTTCCTTCCCTGGCAAATTTTCAGGAATGCCTATTATTCACAATACTGTGGCGCCTTGGAAGCCAAAAGGAAGCAACCATCTGTTGGTATACATTTTCCCTTAGCTATGCGTTATACAGAGATTTCCTTTGGAAAAATAAACAAAGGATGCTTGATGAGCCAGGACAAAGAACTAAATATAGAGTTCAAGTGGCCAGAGTATCAAGGTCAAAGCATGCCCTTCCTTAGCCAGAAACAAGGAGAGAAATGGGCCTGCATCTACCTCTTTGCCGTGGTCTCTACCCCCAAAGGAATTGATTTCCAAGCACCTCTTTTTGGGGTTCTGGAAGCTGAGTCTCAAGTATAAGCTACCATTCAGCTAATAAATCTGTGGTTGATCTTAACCTCTGTCTCTGTAATAATAGGAAGAGTCCAGCTTTGTTTACTTTCTGAGGATAATAGGGAACAGAGAAAAACCAGGATGGGGAGGCAGTATTTATGGACTCTTTATGAAAAGGCAACCTGTGACAAAAACACTCTCAAACAATAAGGAAGGGGAACAGGTTTGGCAGGAATATAACCTATTCCTGTTCTTGCAAAAGTGTTGTGGTGGAGCTGGCATCCTCCACCACCGCCCAATGTGAACTGCTTGAATTACACTGTGAATATAGAAGTCATTCTCTACAGACAAATCTAGATGAGATAAAATGGGGGACCCAGACACCATTCATTGTCTGGCTCTCATAATTAGCATTATCATACTCTTTATTTCGTTGTATGAAGTACTTACAAGTATTTTTGAAATCTCAAGTCCCTTCTTTAACTGCAATACTAATCCTGGGGCTTGTCCTGAAGCCTTTTGGACATATAGGCTCTGTGTTAAATGAGTATAATAGGTAGTCTGGATGCGCCCTATTATTAAAGGGGAAGGTAAGGGCATATCTCTAAGCTTTCAGAAGGGATGATGGCACAAAGAACAGCCACGGAGTTTCATAAACCATCCTGGAGGGACCCTGTCCAGAATGGGCCCTTGAAAAATATGAATACTTTGAGAATTTTATACAATGTATTTTAATCGCATTCACCTGCAAACCCCTTCCCCTTAACTTCTGTCGATTCCTGGTCACCGCCTTACCACTCCTCCCAACTTCATTCAGGACAGAATCCTAAATGGAACAAACTATACATTATTAACTCCTATAATAGAGTAGCATGTTCAACACTACTGTATTATCTCACTGTTCTTTGTTGGTTCCCAGGTAGTGTTTTTATTCCATTATCTATAGTCCCTGTACAAGTGTAACCGCGTCAGAGTGGATTTTTATAGCGTGTAGGCCATTCTGTGTGTACATAGTATGTCTAAGCCCTTTTCCTTTACCTAGCATGATGCCATACATAAAAAGCTGATCTTTTGTGTAGCCAGAGAAGACAGTAGCAAACATAATGGGACTTAACAAGCATCCCTAAGGGTGCTATTTAAATAGCTGCTTTACTGGATCACCATGGGATTCCCTCTTACTTTACTTACACATGGTAGTGTTAGCACTACTTCCTTCAGGCATAGGTTAACTTCTGAATGCTAACTTCAGAAAGCCACTTTGAACTATCACTTCTTGGGCTATGATACTGCTCCATGGTATAACACTTGCCTAGCATTTGCCCCAGCACCCAGAGAAAGAAAAATCACCTGTTATCCAAAGGCCAGAGTGCATCCTCCCCTACTAACACAATGGTGGATTATTTTATGAGGCCTGCTGCTACCACTTCAAAGGAACAGAACAAATATTAAGAAGAACTGGTTCCCAGAATGGGCTGGGAAAGGTTGGAAGAGTGCTGTGCTTAGGTGAGGCTGGCCAAGATGATAAATTTCCCGGGGATCAGGAAAAGAGATTTTAGAGAGATTCTAACATGTAAGAACAATGGGATAAACTGCAGCTTTGCTTTTTTCACTACTACCTTCTCTATACTTAGCAGTCCTTTGATTAGAATGAATACAAGGATAGCTTATTTCTAACCATATTTATTCATTATCATCTATTACTCCCCTGCTAATCATGTAAATTCTAAGCTGAGGCATCCCTTATCCAATTTTCTGCTTAGAATACTCTCTTGTCCCTTTGACACTCTGGATTCCTTACACTATAATCTGACAGCATAATCAGAAGCTTTGATAAAATAGAGCACAGAGGGATTTTGATTGGTTGAAGACTACTCAAAAGTAATAACTTTCTGCTTTGTTTCTTCCTTCTTGGAAAGGATGAGACAGTAGAGAAAGAGGACAAAATAAAGAAAGTGATCACTGACAGCCATGACCCATGAAATCTGGAAACGAAGTGAAAAGCACAGTGTCAGGTCCACTTTGCATTTTACAGCTAAGGACACTGAAGCAGAGGTCTTAACCTACTTAACGTCATGTAACCAGTTGGTTCATAGAAGAGGCAAGTCAGGAATCCAGTTTTCCAACACTCCAATGCTCCTTATTTCCATCCTTTATGCTTCTCCCTGCACTCACAGCATCCCATTCTACCATTTCACGTGTGAGTTTAACCAGTACACCATGTACTTTGTATAGATCGGTGCCCAGCAGGGATTATATTACCAGTGTATGTTCATCTATACTAGAAGAAACTCAAAACTTTAATAAGACTAATCCAATAGGGGATGTGGAATTACTTATGCATAAGGATTCATTGCCTTAGGAGATATTCTTCAGTCTTAAAGAGGAACTCTGAACTGGGATCATGATAAAATGATTTCATCATTTAAAGCAAAACAAACTCGATCTCTTTTACTTATCTGTTATACAAGATTAAGATTAAGAATGGATTGTAAGACTCTATATAGAATTAGAAAAAAAATACCCAATATGTAGAGTTCAACAAATGCTTTTAAGAAAAAGAAGGAAGAAAGAATAAAACCTTTTATTCTGTCCTGCCAAGGAGCACTGAACTCCCCTTCTAAGTTCTTTTTGTTTGTTTGTTTGGTTGGTTGGTTTGGTTTTTCGAGACAGGGTTTCTCTGTAGCTTTATAGCCTGTCCTGGAACTCGCTCTGTAGACCAGGCTGGCCTCAAACTCACAGATTCGCCTACCTCTGCCTCCTGAGTGCTGGGATTAAACGCGTGTACCACCACTGACCGGTCCTTCTAAGCTCTTTTAATATTCGATGTTGGTAATATTTTTAAACCTTATACTTGTACAGCAGTTCACAATTCACAGACAATTTAATCATAGACATTGCTTGTTGATTACAAAAAGTCTAAGTAGAGGAATCAAAAATAAGTGAAAAGATGATGAGTGAGGATATAGTTAGGACCAGGGCTATGGGATGAAGGGAACATAAGCTAGGATGGGAGGAAGCAATGATGATCAGAAAGAATGCTGCATTGAACATCACCCTAACCTAAGGATTCGTGATTCTCAAATTGTCCAGAAACGACTTTATAAGTGATAACGTTCATTTTGGTGAAGGATCACTTCCTTTATGATTCTCATACCATCTACTGTTTGAAAAGAAGGAGTTCCTCTTCATCCTTTGTTCCCCACAAACCATCACCATTACCTAATTTTGAAAATCATCCATATCTGTGACCTTTCTTAGAACAAAATTCCCAAAGGCATGAGATCGTCTACACTATCTTTTAGTCCTTCACCCCAAATGGCTGAGCTAAAGTCTGGCAAAACTTAAGTTTCTCCAAAGACCTTCCAATTCAGATCTAATGAAAGAATTGCAAATATTAGTGTTACATACCTCAACTTGCTGGCAGATCTGTATTAGTTTGGCCATTTGATTTTCTAGTTCGCTGTTGCGTTTAACCAGGTTGGTGAGGTTCATCTCCAGAGTTTGCTGCCATCACAGAGGGTATGAAGCCAGCAGGAAACAGGAGAAGGGGAGGAAAACAATGAACAATGAACATGAGAACCAAGGTAATATGGGAATCAATCAGCCAAAAGACAGAGCTCTCTCCCACTATTGGGGGTGGGTAGTTGTGTGTCACAAAGGTGACACAGAGCCTCACTCTATAGCCCATGTTGACTTTACACTTATAGTGATCCCCTTACCTCAGCCCACAAATTCCTAGAATTGTAGGTATACACCCCTCAATAAAACCGAGGGCCTCACACATGCTAAGCAAGTGCTGCTCTACTAAGCCATACCACCAGCTCAGTAGATTCATATTTCACAAGTTTACCAAGTCTGCTACAGACCAAGAATTGTAAATATGCCCTGACTGAGGAAGAGGTAACATTCATGACTTTGTAGGCTGGTGCAGGAATTTACTGACATTAAGGCAACCTAAAGTTTTTATCATTTTATATTATCTTTAACTTTTCAAACCATTTCATGGTCATTTCCTTTTGCTCTCAAAAAAGTCCAGCAACATAAGAGGAATAAGGTGATAATATCACCTTTTTATTCATAAATAGTCTAAGAAAACTATAATTTGCATGTGTGTATGTGCATGGGAGGTACGGGCTTCTATGGGTGCACATGTGCCAGCTCCCAAGCAGGCGTGGTCAGCATTTCCCCTTACATTATATACCTATCGGTAGGCCTATTCATGAAAAGTATATTTTACCTCGAATGTGACATTCACCAAAATAAAACTTTGTATCTCAGACTTCCTTTCTACAGACACAGGGTTTCAAACAAAGCCTGATTGTATCTGGAAAACACTATTTACAATCTCTTACTGGTACATAGCTCCTTTTAGGTTCACATGAGAACCACTTTGCAGATATTGTGAACATAATATACAGTTGTACCAGTACCTAGAACTCCAACATATTTCTAGTTGAACAAGCTATTTTCTCTTATTCCTCGTGTGAAAACTAAAACATTATGTCTGTGTATATTGATCATGGATGCTCATTTTATCCAATCTCCAAAGATCTAGTCTCAGTATATACTACTCTCTTATCCAACATCTCAATACTCTACCAAACCTGCCCCAAATGTAATACCCCAATTTCCTGACCCTCACTCTAGTAGTATTCTTTGCCTGGGTCATACTCATTGTTTCATTGCTGTCTCCATGGTTGCTATGAGTTATAACTGTTCAAAGTTCATGCTATTGAAAGAGAGGACGGGAAGGACACTGAGGAGTACAGGGATTTAGACAAAGAGAGGGGGCTCATGCTCTTGGATTCTTTCCTGTCTAGGAAGTAGCTGTGGCTTCTTAACAACCTTGGAGCTGTTTTTTGAATGTGTAGCAAAGCACATATTCATATAGATATATGTACAGTTAGGCTAGCTAATCTGATTGACAACAAGTGGACAATGGAATTTTGAGGACCAACTTAACTTTCCCTTCATGTCAGATTGTGATGGTTGAAATGTAAACTGTTCTCCATAGACTCAGGTATTTGAACACTTTGGTACTGTTTGGAGAGGTTACAGAAGGTGCAGCCTTGCTGGAAGAAGTGTATTATTGGGGTGGGCTTTGAAAGTCCATAGCCTTGCCCCAATTCCAGTTCACTCTCTTTGGTTCTTGCTAACAGATGGATATCTTAGCTTCCTACTCCTATGGCCATGCCTGCTGCTTACTGACATGGTTCTCCACCATAATGGACTCTTATCCCCCTGGAACTGTAAACCAAAAGAAATGCTTTCTGCTATAAGTTGGTTTTGACCTTGGTCTCTTATCATAGTAACAGAAAGTCATTAGCACACAGATCTTTCTTGATTTCCTGAGCTTTAGTTCCATGGAAGTGACCCATGCTACCTCTGCTTTATTTCTTTCATTTCTTGAGGGCTCTCTCTCTCTCTCTCTCTCTCTCTCTCTCTCTCTCTCTCTGCTTTCTTTAAGTCTGCTACCATCTAAATCTGTGTTCTCAAGAGAAAGGAGTGGGAGTAGGGGCAGCAATCACTGAATTAGGCATAATCAATAAACTAAATAGATGTCAAAGAGAAAAAGAAGAAATGGCAGTTCGGAGATTTGCCGCAACCAAAACATATTGAGCATCTTCTCTACTCAGGGTGCGGTAATAGATCTTGAAGGATGAACAGACAAAGATGGTGGAAAGCTGGATGTTTCAGGCTTGAGGAATAAGACTAGCAAAAACAAAAATAAAGTAGCCAGGAGTGGTGGCACACACCTGTAGTTCCAGTTACTCAAGATAGCTGAGGCAGGAGAACAACTTGAGCCTAGGTACTGAACAACATTATAAGATTCCTTTTCTCAAAAAATATTGTTCATATCCAGGGATCAATAAACAGTTTAGTTTGACTAGAACACGGGGTACAAGGATGAAAATGGAGATCAAAGCCCTGTTTTGCTTGGCGTAGTTGTCCACACCGTTATTCCAAGCACTTAGGAAACAAAGACATGCAGATGCCTGTGTGTTCCAGGCTAGTCAGGGATATAGGGCAAGTTCCAGGCCAACCAATGCTACACAATGAGAACCCATCTGGGGGTGTGGGGGAGAGTCCTGTTTTGAGAGTCTTGATTATACAAATGGGTTTTTACCTATTTGTTTTAGTATTGGAGTTTACCAGGGGTTGTTGAATAAGGAAATGATATAATCATTTAGGCTACATTTAGGATATTAACCTCTGCAGCAATATGGGGAACAGAGCAAAACAGGAAAGCCTGGGAGGCAGGGACACTGCTTGTGAAGATACTGTAATATTCAAGGCAGTTGCAAATGCAGGTCTGGGCCAAGCTGGGAGGACAATTAGGAGAAACATGTCTCAGGAAAAGATTCATCACTGTCAAATATGCAAAGACCAAGAGAAATGTGAGAATGTATTTTTAAAGGTGGGGGTGGGCTAGATTGGGTAATCAGAGGACAAAAGTAACCTTTGTAAAAGGAGTTTTAGTGGGGCTTTGGAAGTAGATGCTAGAGCACACGGGTTAGAGTACATCAGAATGCTGCAAGCCTAGATTCCTCTCCAAAAGTTCAACCATAAAATGAATACAATAGATCTCAGCTTGATCAAAGAGTCTCACGTAATTTAGAGAGGGGAAATTACTAATGGAGCCAATCAGTTAAAAATTTCCTCTCAAAGAGTAGTCCACATTCCCAGATCAATGGAAATCCCATGTATCAAACATCATTATATTGACCTATTTGGTAAATAGCCTGTTCATTGATAAACCCAAAGAAGAAAAAACGATTTAAAATTCTGTGTTTCCCACCACAATGTGTGTTTCCATTCAGACATGTGATTCCACTGGGAGAATGTTTTTTTTAACAAGTACATGAGACCTGTTGTAACACTGGCCTTGAAATTGATATATCATAAATAATTCATACTGCAGAGCAGGATTAAGATCCCTGCTGTGCGTTCCTCATTTATGGCCCTGAACTGAGAGTCATGGCTTGTATAAAGCTACGGAAAACAAAAATTAGGGCTGAACACATAATTTCAGGTCTGGTTAGATTACAGGCCTTGGGTTACCATCACAAAATTATGGCAAATGGTTAGTTTGCTCTGGCCCCCTAGCAATTTGCAGAATGCCAGTCCATTTGAACAACACGGTTCTAGAACTGACAAGATGACTCTAATTTCAACCTTGCTTCATTAATATGAAAAATGCTTTGAAAAATAAATCTTTGGATAATGAAAACACCATCTGTTGATGGCTGTTTGCCACTGTTTTCTTACATTCTGAGACATAATTTGGGGAAAAAACACTGAACGTTTACTTACTTCCTATTCATTTATAAGGAATTAAAGCCTCTTTTCAAATTGGAATCGATCTTCAATAATGAACATATGTGAAGGGAAGCAGTGAACTGGAGCACTTATGCAGTCTATCTCCTCACCCTCTCCAAAATGCCCAGCACTCTCAAATCCTTTAGAACCAAATTTCTGAGCCCCTCTAGGTTTGAAGGACTGGGATTGATTTGGCCCTGTAATTATCTTTTCTATACCATGTCTTAGTAAACCAAGTTGATTTGTGTGTGTGTGTGTGTATGTTTGTGTGTGCACTCACACAAAGTCTTTTCATGTTAAAATAAACATGCCTCTTTGTTATTTTAAGTCAGTTTTGAAGAATCACTTTGTTTTGTTCCTTTCTATATATTCCATTTAACGACTGGGCTAGGTTCCCTCTGTCCAGACCCAGTTAGTGTAACTTTTTCAAAATAGTTGAACCATGACAGCAAAAAAGCCAAAGTGGCAGGGGAGATTGGAATGGAGATATCTGCTGGGAGGAAACAGGACAGGAGGTTGGCAGAGAGAGCAGGATGAAGTTCCCATTTCCTGCTGCAGGAGGTTACCTCTGAGTTTTTTTTTCATTTCCCTTTTGTGAGGGTGAGAAGCCATTTTAGCTTATGAAGCTCTGAGCCCCTGTTCACCTTCTAATGACTACATTCTAGCTCTCATAAAACTGTACATGTGTCTAAACAGCACAAGAAGACGGGAAGATTTGGCTGCCTTCCATAATTGAGATTGTAAGAGGCCTGTGTTAGCTAAATTGGCAGTCTACACTGATTCCATTTGCACCCTAATTCCATTTCATTTGTGTTGCATAGACTTGGCCTCATTGTGCTCTGTAGTTCCTTTTCCTAAATAACATGATTTTCTATCCAGGAAGCCAGGCACAGACCACTCTTCTTTCAGACAGCATCCCATTTTTCAAAATGCACTCTGACTCACCTAAATAACCGCTGCTTTTATTTTTTTAGTTCTCACAACCTTAGACACAGGTTACTTAAGGTAATATTCTTCTTTCTTATTGTATCTCTCAATAAATTTAGTCATACATTTAAAGAAAACAGCTCTTCATTAAAGGACCCTACTCTATTTGCAATGCTCCATTCCATGGAGGTGTATGTAATCACACACATATGAACACTTACCCACACTGACCTGATAAACAGTCTTAAGACCTAGAA